TTATGTGGTGTTTTGCAGATTCTACATTATTCTTTAGCATTGCATAGTATTCCATTGTGTGTATGTACCATAGTTTGGTTATCCATTCCTCATAAATAAATTATTATTATTATTTTTGCAGTATTCCCTCCCCTCCCCTTCACCCCTAGTAATATTTATTTACTTTTAAGCCCTCAATAGGCTAAGTGGAGCCCATCCCCACATAGTAAGTGTGGGATAGGTAACTTATACTTTCTCTCTGAAGGTGTCTCCAGCTTTTATTTGCTGCCAAACCAATTTATTTGACACTACTTGTCTCAAAGTCTGGGGATAGGAAGGTGAGCGTCATTATGAACAACTCCTAAAGTCAAGTTAAACAGTTTCTGGGCAATTTAGGAGGTTTTCTCAAGGAAGAGATGATGGGGTGGAAGGGGGAAATGAGGTACGTGTGGTTGCTTTTGCATCTTCCACATTCAATTTCACTGTTGGTTTCTAATTGAAGTGTATTAAGAGAAAAACACACTCTGGGGGATTATCTTCATAAAGGTATCCAGGATCATATATAGGGTTGGATTAGGAGCTCTGGGATCTTGAGGTTAAAGCATTGGGCTACTAACCAGAAGGTTGGTGGTTCAAACCCACCAGCTGCTCTGCGGGATACAGATGAGGCAGGCTGCTTCCATAAAAATTTATAGGTTTGGAAACCCTATGGAGCAGTTCTATTCTCTCCTATGTTATTGTTGTTGTTATGTGCCGTCGAGTCGGCCACGACTCATAGCGACCCCTCCTTGGGTTTCTGAGGCAGTATCACTACGGAAGTAGGATTGCCCAACCTTCCTTCCGAGGAGTGGCTGGTGGGTTTGAACCGCCAGCCTTCTGGTTAGCAGTCAAGCGCCTTAGGTACTATGCTACCAGAGCTCCTATTCTCTCCTATAGCCTTGCTAAATTGGAATTGACTTGGCAGTGGGTTATTTTGGGAATGGGATTAAAGTGAAAAAGTCCCAGGGGACTCCCAGGAAATAAACACTGCATGGATGGTGCTTAAGAGTTGTGCAGGAATCAACTGCCACGTCTGTACGGGATTGCGCTGGATGTGCTGAAACTCCACGAGTTATGGCTAATTGAGCATTCCAAGGGGAAAAGCTTTTTGATACAGAGAGAAGTAGGATAACTTCTGAAGTTTGGAAATACATTTCTTCCACATGACAGAAATAAGAGCTAGAGTGATTTATAATAAACACTGAAAAACAATGAACAGAAGTCAATTACAGTGAAACCTGTGAGAGCCAGAACTCCATAGGTCTGCCTTGTTTTTCCGGGTCTCACAAGTTTTCCCCTTTGACAAGGTTCAGTCTTACCACTTTTCTATAGCTTGTTTCAGTGTAAAATATTTGAATTTTCCTTCTCCAACAGGTTTCTACCTTATACAGGTTTGGGCTCTTGCAGGTTTTACTCTATATCCTTTACTAAGGGAAAAGTAGAGCAATTGCTAAAAATTAATTAGCAAGGTATTTTTAACTCAAATTCATGAAATGTTGTCGTTAGCTGCCATCGAGTCGATTCTAACTCACAGAGACTTCATGTGTGTGAAGTAAAACTGTGCTCCACAGAGTTTGGAAGCAGACCACCAGGCCTGTCTTCCAATGTGCCTCCAGGTAGGTTTGAAATGTCAACCTTTCAGTTCGATATTCAGTACTTAACCATTTGCATCACCCAACGACTCCATAATCCATGAAATACGTACCTGAAGGAATTAAATAGGGAATTTAGGAGTGGGGTAGTGGTAGAGTGGCCAGGAAACAGTCTTTGAAATTTTATACCCGTAATTTCGCTGATTTTCTTACAAGGGAAGGAGAATGTTTTAATTGCAATGTAAATGCTTGGTAATTTTAAGACTGTATAAGAACAACAGTACTGATTTTCAAAATTCAGATCAATACAAGTTTTTGTAAGGATCCCTGGTGGCGCAGTGGTTAAGCGCTCAGCCAGAAGGAAAGCAGCTGGAACCCACCAGGTGCCCTGGGGGAGAAGCGACCTGGTGATCTGCTCTAGTAAAGATGACAGCATTAGAAACTCTATGGGACAGTTTTACTCTGTCCTATAGGGTTGCTAGGAGTTGGCTGCTAACCAGAGGGCTAAGGGTTCAATCCCAGCAGCCACTCCCAGAAGGAAGGTTGGGCAATCTACATCAGTAGTGATACTGCCTCAGAAACCCAAGGAGGGGTTGCTATGAGCTGGGTATGACTGGAGGGCACATAACAACAACAAATAGGGTTGCTATGACTCAGAATCAAATCCATGACAATGGCTTATAAGTTTTTTCCTTTAAAAAAATTATTTTAACAGAGATAAATAAATGTTAAATTTACTTTTCCTTTTTACCAGTTCTTCCCGGCTAAAAATTTTCTTATTAATGAAAAAGCAGTTCTGAAAAAACAGTTGAGTCCAAAGGTCACACCTGGGAAAGCCATGAATTAAAACTACATCTCTCGTGACTTCCTACCCTCCCCAATTCAAGGGAAAGGGGGTTAGGAACATAGGTCAGAGCAGTAGTATATTACACATTTTTCAAAGAATTGACAGAAAACACAGCTCTTCAGCCCTGATAAGCATCTGATTCTATGGCCAGCTCTCTGTTGGGGATTTTGTGTCTTCTACCCCATAACAAGCTTGACTGCTCACCAGAAGGCTGGCGGTTCAAACCCACCAGCCACTCCTCGGAAGGAAGGTTGGGCAATCCTACTTCCGTAGTGATACTGCCTCGGAAACCCAAGGAGGGGTCGCTATGAGTCGGGGCCGACTCGACGGCAAATAACAACAACAACAACAACCCCATAACAAGCTAGGGTCCTTCAAACCAGTTCAGTGTCCTAGGTCCTCCCTTCAAGGCCAGTTTTCTGCTCCTTCCTCAACAGACAGTCCTAGGTGGCACCTAACCAGACCATACAGAGGGTCTCAGCTGCCTCTTCCACTAGCTAAGCTTTGCTTGTGACAGCTTGGACGGCTGCAGGAGGAGACCTGAGTTCACAGTTCTGCGAAATGTGTAACTGCTCATATTCTCATCCTCTCCTGCCCATTTCTTATCTTCACACCTTCGCCCTATATCTTTCCATACAGCCAGCTTAGGGAGGGAAAACTTACCTGGGGAAACACAAGAAAGACATGCATAACAAACACCCAACACTTAATACCCTCAGGATCACAAACACGTACTTCCTGACTTAAGGAAGGGCCCAAGGACACCAAATCCCTCTCCCCTCCACCCACTTGGGCCCACAGCTTAAGTCCGAGTCCGTAATCGAGGCCTCTGTCTAAATACACACCCCCTACCCCCGACTCCAGTCTCCTGCGACGTCTCACCTCCCACGGTGGACTTGTAGTGTTTGCTGAAGCTGTCCTGTGAATATCTCTGGACCAGCGACGTCTTGCCCACTGCGGCGTCCCCCACCACCAGCACTTTGAACAAGTGGTCGCGGCTGCCCATGGCGGGCTAGCTGAATGTGCGTTTTAGGGAAGTGGGGGTGTCGTTTTAACCCTTGTGGCTCCGGACCCTCTACAAACTCAGGTTAGGCATTCCTGCCCACCGCCTGTTGAGGTGGTTCTGACGAGAAAAGCAAAAAGGAAACTTTGCACTCAACTTATACGCGCTTCCTCCCCGCGCAACCGCAGCCTGGGTGGGGCCCTGGGCTGGACTCCGAGCCCCCGGCTGTTCGCACCTTCTGCACCTCCCGGGTCTGGCTGCCGAGAAACTGGACAAGGCACAGGACGCCTCACTCACTGGGAATTCCCCCGTGCGGCTCCAGCGGGCTACAGAGCCCGGGCCTGTTTATTCCACCGTTAGGGCCAGAAGATGGGAGCCCTGCCACCACTGCACAAATTAAATTCGGAGGAAAGAGCAGTCCACAACCCACTCCTGGACCCTGGCGAGTCGGGGGTGGCGCGGTCCCTCCCGCCTCCCTCCGCAGGCATCACGCGCAGGGTTCCTCGGAGTACTACATATCCCATCTCACTCGGCGACGGTGAAGCGAACTAGTCGAGTGCAGAGGCTCGCCCGTTAGGTCCTCTGGGAAATGTAGTTTATGCACTATTTTTATTTTTTAAAAAATCCACACAAAGTTTCAAGACTTGCACAACCCCATACTTCTTTACTAGTTCCGAATCTTATTTTAAAATAATTTTGGGTCACAAAATTTCCTTAAAGCGATTTGCTCTACATGATTCCATCTGCCTAAATCCATCTCCAAATAAGACTTCTTTTTATCTTGAAAGGTTTTATGGAGCTAAAATTTAAAATTTCCATAAAGTCTATAAATTTTTCTACGAATAAAAGTTCAAGTATCATCCTTCATGCTCCAAGCAAAGTCCATATCCTATTCCTTCAAGTAAACAGAAACCCAAAACTTTATTAACATGATGAAAAGTATACCTTATATTTCCAGTACAAGCCCTATCAGGCAAGTCCAGGTAAATTTGACCCAAGAGACCGACCCTTAGAAAACCCCATGTCAAAAGTTACAGCATTTAATAACTAGCTACAGCAATAAAGATAGAAAACAAGAGACAGTTCCTTATTCTCACTTCCACAGTCCTGTTCTAGCCACAACACTCATGCATCATTTGAGCTGGAAGCTAATTGGATCACACTGGAAATCTTGCTCTGTTTGTTGCTGCTGTTGGTCATGAATCATCAATAAACTACAGTTTTGCAAAAATCAGAATTTTTTAGCCTGTAACCTTTCTGTTCTGCCTATTCGTTAGGCAGGCAGCAAGGGGGCATTGCTATATGCATGTCAAGCAATGTGAGCTCCATATTCTATGCTTTTCCCAGGAATAAAAGTAGAAGCAGTAGGGCTGTGAGAAGCCCAGGAGTCTGACACCATGAAATTCTGCCCAGGTCTGTTGGTAGAGATGTTATCTCTTAACTGTCTGCCAGGAAGGAACATCAGCATGGTTCACAACTTACTTAGCCTATATTGTTTGTTACCCCAGGTAGGGGAGGTCAGGCATCTTTAAGGATGTCTCAGATCCCTTCCCAATCGCCTTTTCTCAATTCCTGTTTACATAGTTAACATAGTTCAAATAGTTTGAAACTCATTTCTCACTTGACTTCAATGACACTATTCTTTCTTACTCATCCTACCTCTTTTTCTTATATGGTTTCCCTCCATCTCACCTTCCCCTAAGGAGATGTATTTCCTAAGGCTTGTCCTTGATCCCTGTTCTAGAAATACTTTACTTTGAAGCCCTTTTCTTCGTCTTGACTTTATTTTTTATGTCAGTATCTCTAATCCATTATGTCCAACATCCAAAAAGGCACCTCCATTTGGATATCTCACCACAGTTTTTGCCTCATTACATCTTCTTCTTCTTCTTCTTTTTTTTTTTAATGGCTGTAAATTTTTTTTTATTGTGACTTGGGTGAAAGTTTACAGAGCAAATTCACTTTTCATACAGCAGTTCACACACACGTTGTCTCATGACATCGACTACAATTTACCCCAATGCAACAGCTCCCCTCCCACTTCCTCCTGATAGTTACCACTTCCCTGTGTCCATCCCTCCATGCACTCCTGCCCCCTGAACTGTCTCCTTGTGCATAAATAGCCCTTCTTTCTCCCATGATTGTTCTCTCCAAGGAGTGTATCTACCTCAGGTTCATGTTCAACTCTTAAGCCTGCCTGTCTTTTGTTTAGCTGGAAGCCACAGATGTGGGTTCAATTCCAGACCTGAAAGGCATCTAGGGACTATAGTCTCAGTGGTTCCAACAGGCTCTATCAGACCAGCAAACCTGGTCACCTTTTTTTTTTTTTCCCAAATGATTTTGAGTTTTGTTCCACATTGTTCTCCCTCTCTATCCAGGATCTCCTACATAGATCCCCCTCCGAGTGGTTGACAGTGGTAGCTGGGCACCATCTAATTCTTCTGGTCTCATAGTTGTATAGGCTGAGCATTGCATGGTATACTAGTCACAAGAACTAATTGTTTCCATGAATCTTTGGTTTTTCTTCATTCTTCTTTGCTCTGGATGCAGAAAGACCCATGCGTTGCATCTAGATGGCTACTTGCAAGCTTTTAAGATCCCAGTCGCTACTCGCCAAAATAGGAGGTGGAACAATGTTTTGTGTGGTATGTTATGCCAATTGAGCCTGTTGTCCCCTGCAACTATGGTCCTGAGCCAACAGGCTCAACTACTCACTCCCTCTGGGTAGCTGGCTGTGACCAAGAAGTGACTACAAACTTGTCCCTTGTCAGCTCTACTATGCCCCTGGGAATTCTTACACAACATACAAATACACTTTTAGAACCACTGTCTGCCAACCCTATACATGGTCTTGGGTACACTCCCTGCTGCATAGACATACCTAATAGTTCAGCCTATTCACCCACCTATCTACCCGTATGCCCATGTTTGCCTTCACTGACAATGCAGTACTGTATGTGCAAAAGGGTTCATCTTTTTTGTCTGCACCTCTCATGTACCTCTCTGTCTTCCTCTTCCTCAATGCCACCATATTGATCACTCACATTTGCTACACTGCCCTTCTCTTCACCCAAATCAATACTTATCTCTACCTATCTAAAAGTGTTCCTTCCCCTCCCCTCCCTCCTCTGGTAACCAACAAAGAAAATTTACTTCCATATATAAACCATTCCTTGACTTTTTTTTTTTTTTAATTTTATTTTGATTTGGGTGAAGATTTACAGAGTAAATTCACTTTTCATACAGCAGTTCACATAATATACTTTGTCGCATGTCATTGACCAAAATTTACAATGCAACAGCTCCCCTCCCACTTCCTCCCCATAGTTACCTCTTCCCAGTGTCCATCCCT